CCCCCCCCCCCCCACCAACCCCATTTGCCCCTAAGAAGGTGGCGGTCATCATTGCTTTAATGATGGACCCAGATGTCTGCACATGGCTCCCTTTCACTCCTTGCTGGTCTAGTCGTTCACTGTTCCTTCAACTGCAGTGTGTACAGCAGTCACTATGGAAGGAAGGCTGCAGGCTCAGCTCCATGGGTACTGTACTTTTGGGGCAATTGGGGCCTTTTCAAGGAAATTTGCCTATAAATGACTTTGCTCTCCACTCTTAACTTTAGAAACTGGCCCCAGCATAAGACATTATCCCAGTGAACAAGAATCCATTGATGTACAGAGCACACTAGTCCAAATACCTAAAAGATAAAGCTTTGCAAACAAAGAAGGCATCGTTCACTGAACTTTCTGGAGAGAGTAAAGGTGCTGCAACAGCCAACCGCACACATCCCACCGGCTACGTGGCAATTAAAGTTCTGCCTACCCACCTCTTCATCCATAAAGTCTTCCGGACCAAGAACAGATTTGTCTGCTCTGTTCTGTCGTGAAGACACGAAGGAAGAGGGTGTCCATCCTTGAAAGAAAAGCATTTAGAATATTACAATTTTGGTTTATAACTAAATCAGTAACAGTGCAATTATGGGCTTGAAACCCCCAATACCGAGTCGTTTGCCCGCGGCCCGGAGGGTGGCTGTGCCACGGGCTTCAGCCCTGTTTCCCTTGTGTGCCCAGCTCTCCTCCCCCTTTCCCTCTAAGGATGGCCCAGAAGGAGAGCGCCCACCCCTGGCCCTACGGCCGGCAGACGACTCAGCCTGGCCTGAACACCCTGCCCCAGAGAGTCCTCTGGAAGGACCCTGCCACCCCGTCTGCGCTTGTCCTCATGAGCCGCTCCAACGCCCAGCCCAAGCTGCCCCTGCCCAGAAGGTGGTGGAGAACAGCAGTGGGACACCCAACTTCTCAACGTGCTCCTTCACCACGGACGACTTTGAGATCGGGCGTCCTCTGGGCAAAGGCAAGTTTGGAAATGTGTACTTGGCTTGGGAGAAGAAAAGCCATTTCATTGTAGCTCTCAAGGTCCTCTTCAAGTCTCAGAAAAGGAGGGCGTGGAGCACCAACTGCGCAGGGAGATTGAAATCCAGGCCCACCTGCAGCATCCCAACATCCTGCGCCTCTACAACTATTTCTATGACCGGCAAAGGATCTCCTTGATTCTGGAGTACGCCCCCCCCGGGGAGCTCTACAAGGAACTGCAGAAGAGCCGCACTTTTGACGAGCAGCGAACAGCCACGATCATGGAAGAACTGGCAGATGCTCTGATGTACTGCCACGGGAAGAAGGTGATTCACAGAGACATAAAGCCGGAGAATCTGCTCTTGGGGTTCCAGGGAGAGCTGAAGATCACTGACTTTGGCTGGTCTGTGCATGCCCCCTCCCTGAGGAGGAAGACGATGTGTGGTACCTTGGACTACCTGCCCCCAGAAATGACTGAAGGGTGCACGCACAACAAGAAGGTGGATCTGTGGTGCATCGCAGTCCTCTGCTATGAGCTGCTGGTGGGAAACCCGCCCTTCGAGAGCGCTTCCCACAATGAGACGTATCGGCGCATCGTCAAGGTGGACCTGAAGTTCCCCGCCTCTGTGCCCATGGGAGCCCAGGACCTCATCTCCAAGCTGCTCAAGCATAACCCCTCAGATCGGCTGCCCCTGGCCCAGGTCTCTGCGCACCCTTGGGTCCGGGCCCACTCCCGGAGGGTGCTGCCTCCCTCCGCCCTTCAGTCTGCCCCCTGACTTGTCCCTGTCATTTATTCGGTTGTGTCTGTTTGTATGCCCGTATATGTGGGGTTGGAAGGAGGGGTACCTGGCCTGTTCCTTTACTTTTCTTCTACCTCCTTTTTATTTAATAAAGGCTGAAGCTTTTCATTTAAAAAAAGAAAAGAAAGAAAAGAAACCCCCAATACCTACAAACTCTTAGCTCCCTCCCTGCTCATATAGACATGATTACATGACATAAACATATTAATGCCCACATCTCCTGTTGTCAGAACTTAGGGGATACTGTGAGGTTTCCCCCTAAGAATTTGGAACCAAGAGAAATCAAATTATTACATTGAAAGTGGCATGTGAGCAAAAAGATGCAAGGTCACCTTAAAAGGGAGGACCACTCTGGAGACCAGCAGGATAACAACAGACACCAACTTATTAACATATCACAGAAATACTAGGTCAGGGTGCATGAGTCAGCCATGAAAGGGTGGCTAGAACCAGAGTCACAGAAGCAAGGCACAGAAGCAATGGGAACATTCAGGGGGCCCTGGCCCGAGGACAAGGACTCAACCTGGCTAGTCTAAGGGCAGGCCGTGCCCACCCCAGGCCCCCTGTTCCATCACACTCCTGAGTCCTATAACACCACCCCTGCTTCCTGTCCACGGTCACCAAGCATGTGCCATGCCTACAGCATGAGAATGGTCTGGAGGTCAAATGTATCTGTAACCATCTAAGATACACTTTTTTAGTTTTCTCTAAGACTGACACACCTCCTCTCTGATTTCCTACAAGAGTCTTGTGGACCTGAGGAGAATGGGGGCAGATCTACTCTTGGTCAGTGGGTAGACCAGATTTCTGGGCAGGCCTGGGAGACAGCCCCAGCTATCCAGGAGTGAGGATCAGCTTTCCCAGGCTACTGCCTTCCTCCACTTTGGAGTTCTGTAGTCTCTGCCCGATTTCTGCACCGTCCTCCCCATGGTAAAGAGATACTCCAGTGTATTAACCTATCATAGTCTACCTGACAATCACGTGAGCTGGTCTTATTACAGCAGGCAGCACAGCTAAAATTGCAACAGTCAGCTGTCTATTAGTGTCCTTCTTTCTTCACAAAGCCTACTGCCATTTTTTACATTTGTAATGTTAAAAATAAGTGTGCAAGTTTAATAGTGCCTTAGTTACCTTACTTTGCCTTTCCTAATAGTAAGGCTGAATACTCCATAGCGTTTCTATCACCTCTGGAGTAAACTGTTCAAATACTTTGATCATTTGCTCACTGCTCTTTATACATTCTGGATACTAAACTTTAAACCACCTTATTTACCCCAACTATTTTTCTTACGTGGCTAGTTCTATCTTGCACTGCTTTTTTCATCTTTATTGTACTGTTGTTCTATACAAGTTACTGTATGTATCTATAAAAGACGTGCCCCATCTTATTCTTAACAACTGCTACAGGAGTTACTCCGTTCATCCCATCCTCATATCTGACATATAAAAGCCATTTTCTTCCAGTTTCTATGTGAGAACGTTTAAAAAACATGCATTACTTTAAACAATGCAGAACTTATTAAATACTGCATGTGCAAGTTGTAACTGATTTTTCTTCGGGTCGACAGCACGTACTGACAAGTGCTGCTGTGGTCCCCAGTGTCAGGAGGGAATGGCTCTGACCCTCAGTGGCCTCACCTACACAGCAGCTCTGACACCTGCCCTCCTCAGTCACTGAGTCTTGTGAAATGAAGATTACCTGAGTGAATCTGTGTGACAGCACTTCGTGTGTGGCAAGACGCGATATAAAACGGAAGTCACAATCATCATTTAACCATCTGGTTAGGATGTATTTTTTTTTTCTTTAAGTGAAGGAAAACTTCCACTCTCAGATGGTAATGAACAACACACCAATGGACTCCGCAAACATGCCAAACACTGAAAGAACACAAAAGTCTATGGTGTGTGTATTAAAATGTTTAAAGAAGTTTTTGTTTTTTTTTTTAAGGGAGAGGAAAGAAACATGGTATTTCAGTCATTTGCTTCAGCAATATTATAGCTATAAGCAGGAAAATCATACCTTCCTTTGAGCCAACGGTGTTGAAGTACCCAGCAGAGAAACCTCCACTGAAGGCTCCATGAAATCGTTTATACCTTCCTTTTTCATCTCTGACAGTCTGATCCTGAAGAGGAATTGGTTTCTTTGGTCTTTCACCTGAAAAAAATATTTTGAATGAGAGAGAAGGGGATGGTGGATTAGAAAAAAATTAGGGAAAATGTCGTTTCTTACACATAATGAACTGTTTATTTCTTGTAGTTTCAAATATAACAATTTTTTTAGAGGAGTTGTTCATTTATTTGAGAGAGAGAGTGGTGGGGAGGGACAGTAGGAGAGGGAGAGAGAATCTGAAGCTGATTCCGCACTGAGCGCAGAGCCCAATGCAGGGCTGGATCCCACGACCCTGAGCTCAGGACCTGAGCTGAAAGCAAGAGTCCGATGCTCAACAGACTGAGCCACCAGGACGCCCCTCAAGTATAACAATTTTAATTAAGTTTTTTATTCCTAGACTTTACCTGCTATACAGTTCAGAAAGTAACACATGGTATCAAGCTTCTTTATAGTTCTAAGGCAATTATAGACATCTCTTATTTGTATTAGACATACATTTTAGCAAGAGTGGCCTGATTCCCACAAAATTCTAACATGTAAACTGAATTACATGGTGGTGGTAGGGGGAGGTTCAAAGAGATGGAGGTAAACCCTACTGGCAGTGCTGGAGGCAAGTTGCTGGGCTGGCACATGGCAGAGGTTTGCGACAGAAGGAACAATTCTGTATCTCTCCTAGAACTTCACAGCATCCCGAGTCCAGATTTTTTCCTTTGGTATTGCCCATTCTCCCCAAATCTTAAGAGTTTCCTTATTTCTGGCAATCTCCTGATTCCATAGTTACTGCTCTTTAGACATAATCCTTTTCCTGCTCTGCTGAACACGGGTGGGTTGCTACAACACATAAGCAAAAAGGAACTTAGTAAAGTCTAAAAGTTCCTTAGGTTTAAACTTTCAGGCACTATTACACACATTACTGCCTAATTTTATCAACTGCAATTCAGAATTCTGAATCTATTTAAAATAAAAAGTAACCATCAACTTATTTTCAAACATTCAGCACAGAAAGCAAGTTATAGAGCAGTTAAAGGCACAGAGTTGAGAGTCACAGCGCTGTCACCCCACCTTCCCAACACCAGGACTTCCATCATCTTGACTTCTCTATGCCTCAATTTCCTCAACCGTAAAATGGGGGTGACATGAATAGTAATAGCTATTTCATAGAGTTGTTATGCAAACTGAATAAGATAATGCCTATAAAGTGCTTAGCAAGAAGAGATACACAATAAACACTGTTAAAATACTAGCTGCCATTATTATTATTATTATTATATACAGTAGGAAAGGCCATATGTACCTGTTAATTCAATAATTAAGCCAGTTACTCCTTCTGGAAGATCGAACAAAAAGTAGAGGAACTTCTAGCCTCACAGTGCTAAATTCTTCCTAGTAGCTTGTGAGGTCTTTAAGTCATTTCTGGAGTATAACCCATAGCAGGGCAGTCAAGAGCTCAGGTTCTGAAGACCAGGAGATCTGGGTTCAAATCCCCCTCTCCTACTACTTGCTAGCTTGGTGAACTTGGCCAAGTTACTTGATCTCTCCAAGTCTCAGCCTCCCCAACTGTAAAAGTAGGGTAAGAAACAGAACCTACCTGGTAGGCTGGTGCACACCCAGAGGCCTGAGCACAGTGTCTAGTCATAGCGAAGCTCGGTCAATATCAGCTACAATTTCATTTCACTCTGAAGAACTGAATTACAACTTGGGTCCCCTAATACAAGATTGTCACTGTTTCTTAGAAATACATTACACACGATCCACTACCATGTGTGTACCTGGCATGACTACTGGCTAAGGGGGGTTTCTCAACTTCAGCACTATGGGCAGCTGATACTGGATAATTCTTTGTTATGGGACGGTCCTGTGTACCGTAGGATGTTTAGCAGCATCCCTAGCCTGGAACACCAGATGCCAGGCAGTAAGCATGCCCCGCCCTCCCACATGACAAACAAAAATGTCTTCAGACATTGCCAAATGTCCACTGAGGGGCAAAATCAGCCCCAATTGAGAACCACAGGGTTAGGGTGAGAGCGCAGGGCCTGCCAATGCGAGGTGCTATTCTTGCTCGGTTCTCAAGGTGCTCTTAATCAGGAAGGGGGGATAAGATCTGCAGACAGCTAAGAGGAAACTGTGGCGGCAGATAATGAGGGCCAACCAGCATGGCCTGCGGGGGCCCACAGGGCTCCTGAGGAGGAGGCGCCACCTCTAATCACATCAGGAGAAAACTCCAGGGAGGAGGTGACATCTTAGCCAGGCCCTCTTATAATTACTGCTACTAATAACAAGTAATCCCTTCTTTTCACACATATTATCTCATTCATTGTACCTGATAAGGACGCTCTGATTCAGTAACTGCCCCAATGTCCACGGCTAATAAGCACAAAGCTGCAATCAGATCTTAATTCTACTTCCAAGCCAGGGATATCACCCATGCTATCCTTCACCATGGAAGCAGCCCTGTACTAGACCCTGGGTGTGGAAAACTAACCACAACTCTGTCCCTGTCTCCAGGGCCCTCAGAGCCCAGGGGAGGAGACCTGAATATATAGGAACTCTTCTGATGATGTACAAGGACCACATCACAGTGTCCCTCAGCATGAGCAGAATCTGACAGCTACTGACAGACACACAATTCCCAACAGAAGTATTAACTCCATCAGTAAACAGGAAATCTAAAAAGATAATGTCAGATATTTTGAAAAAGTAGTCTAGTCTGACCAGAAGGCAGGGAAGGAGCAGAAGATGGAACTGGAAGGGCAGACAGGGCAGAAGGCCTTGAAAACAGTGCTTCGGGGTCTGTGGTATGGTCCTGGGGGTGATGGAGCCACAGATAGTGTTAAGTGGGAAAGTCATAACGTCAGAGAGGAAAATCGTCCTAAAATTAATCTGAGTACAGGATGAACCAGAGATGAGGAGAATTCCAGAGCCAACTAAAAGTATCTAATGAGAGTTGGTAAGTGCTGGTGCCCCCTTCCTTGCAGGCCAGAGAGCCTATGTGCCTATGGGTCTGTGTGTGACAAGCACTTCGGCCCCTGTCTCTTAACCAGTAAACCTTTCTGTCAGGGCCAGCAACTTTAAGTGGTAGAGTTCCTCCTCTACCAATGCTTGTCTAACCTGTCACTAAAACTTCAAAGCAGAAGGAAAGTGATTATTGGTCTAGTATGTTATACTGTAAAATGTACTCAGAGTATATTTACACTTCAAAGTGCATAGGAAACAATGACTCAATCTTCAAAAACTTCCAGTGCTGAGAAGTTAAAGAATGATCTTAGACTGGGGGCAAAAAGGGTCTACAAATCCAAAGCCCCTTCCTTCCATTTCAAAAGCATGGTTAGGCCACTAGGCTTCATTTCAGATTCTGTGCATGATCGAAGAGGAAGAATTAGAAAAATGTAGATCAAATAGTTGATGGTACAATATGTCACCCACAAGGAAATGAGTATAAGACAAGAAATACAGAAATGTATAAACAGCTGCCCCACCTGGCTGTAATAACCTCCACCCATGCATGTTTAACCCCTGCCCTCTTCCTGCATAGTGAAATCTAACCAGTTTTCAAGGGATCCCATCCTGCTCTCCCAGATTTCTCTGCTAGCTTGTGTAGGCTATTTCCTCTCTATATCATATAAGGTAGCACTTGCAAACCTTGTACTTTTGTTTTCAACTAGATTTGAAACTCCTCCAATACAGTATCTTTGTCAACAAATTCTTTGAGATCATGAGGTGATGCGTTTGCCAGTAAGGCTAATGTGATCTTAGCTCGTATTAAAGAACTACAGTCTAGGGCACCTGGGTGCCTCAGTCGGTTAAGTGTCTGCCTTCGGCTCAGGTCATGATCCCAGGTTCCTGGGATGGAGCCTCGCGTCAGGCTCCCTGCTTAGTGGGGAGTCTGCTTCTCCCTCTGCCTGCCGCTCCCCCAGCTTGTGCTCTCATTCACTCTCTCTCTCAAATGAATAAATAAAACCTTTTAAAAAAATAAAGAACTACAGTCTAGAATGAAGAACATACCAATGGTAGCCCTGCTCTACCCACACTCTGGTCCCATACTTGGAGAAAGGCTCTGACAAATTGGGGTTTCAAGGACTTTAAACTGAATATATTAGAGGATGTTGAGTGTAGTACAGAGATGTCTTAGAGGAAATGCAAGAGCTGTCTTCAAACACAAAGAAGCTTTCAGGAGACTAGTGTCCCTCTGTCTTTTGTAAGTAGAGGGTAGAAATAGGGCCAGTGTCCAGCAAAAGTTTCTAATGATTAGAACTGCTGGTAGGGAACAAAAGGGTCGTCAGTGGAAAGTACAGAAGTACAACTAACCTGGCAATATGTGGTCAGGGTGGGAAATAAAGTCCCACCAACAGAAGGCCTGCAAGTAACTCCTAGCTACCATGCTTCCTTGGTCCTTCCCACAGGGCTAGAACTGCCATCAGTCCTTACTGGGCACTCAATACATTGCTTAACAAATCGAGTCGTTAAGGGATCAGACCAGAAACATGGGAGAGAACCTTACTTCACCTTGCCCTCAGCCCCACATTTCAGCAGCAAGTCCAGTCTGCTCTGCCTTCAACCTACACCTCTACCCAGACCATTACTTATCCCCGCCAGTGCTAACACCCCAGTCCAAGCCATCCTCATCTCCAGACTTCTTTTTGCTAATCTCCCTCCTTCAGTCTTGCCCACCACCACCCTCAACCCGCCTATTCTCAAAATCCAGCGCGAAATAATCTTAAAATATACATCTCTCCCTTGTGTAAAACCCCGCAATGGCTCTTCTACACTTAGTATAAAATCCAAACACCCTTAACATACCACGTAGATGCAGCCCCTGCCTCCCCCTCTAACATCATCTCTACCAGTCTCCCACTGGTGCCGTCGGCTCCACCCACACCAGTCCTGCCGGTCCCTCAATTTGTCAAACTGGCTCTGACTCGAGAAAATTTTGCACTTGCTGCTCCCTCTAACTGAAATGCTCTCCTATCCAGATCTTCATATGGTTGGTTCCTCCCTCTGTTTCAAGTCTGAGCTCAAACGTCCTCTCCTAGGGAAGACAATGCCTGACGACCCCCCGTTCTCACACGAGCCTGTTTCGTCATCTTTGTTTCCCACCCCTCAGGATCTCACATCCATCCCTCCAGAACGTGAGCACTCCGAAAGCACACCGCACGTTTCTCTCGTCTCTGTTCCCGACACCAGTAGCGAGAGAGCCTTGCCCCGGGGCCACCCGAGGCCCGGCACAGGGTTGAGTGTTTTTGCCCCGAATCCTGGACCTCTTTCTCACAGAACCCAGCGACCAATCTGGCCCGCACCTTCTTCCAGCGGCTCCAGGCCTGTCCCATAGCTGACCAAGTCCTCATCACTGTCACTGTCCAGCGCCGCCATCCTGCCCCTTCCGGGCCCCGCCCCCTCGCTACGGAAGCCTCGAAGGGCCAAAAGCCTTCAGCCCTTTCTCCTCCGCGAACCTAAGTGAAGTTGTGAGTGCAGGTGCAGGAATGTGCAGGCGGGCTTGCCTCTCGTCTGTGCCTGGGAGTTCTCGAACCCGTCCTGTGAGAGCCGGACCCGGCAGGAGTTGCCTCGGAGGCTCTGGCAGCCATGATAACCCATCCTAGCTCCGCGTGGAGCCGGTCAGGAGGACGCGCCTGGGAGAAGCTGGAAGCCACCCAGAAGTCCCGCCGCGTGGCTGGTGCTCCGTGTTGTCTGCCCGCCCCCACCCATTGGCCCCCGAGACCCTCTCCCTGCCAGCAACCTCCCGTCCACCTTCACTCCCACCCCGCCACCTGCTGGGAAAGTGCCTGTGCTTCCGGATATGCACAGATAACGCGCTTTATATACATCACTCTTAGGTTTGTATAGGTGGAGTCCCCTTCTAAACCTCTGGAAGGATTCCGAGACACTGGAACTCCGATGTCCATGGCTAAGGCAACTCGGGAGAAAGAGAGAGAGAGTGGGAGGAAAGAAGGAAGGAAGGAAGGGAGGGAGGGAGGAAGGAAGGAAGGAAAGAAAAGGAAAAAGAAAACGGAAGAATACTAAAAAGAGAAAGAAGACGAGAAAAGGGAAACAAAAAGCCAACAGACCTGTAAAAGGCTGCTGTGAGGTGGGGTGGGGACGCTCAGGACGTCCCTACTGAACTTAAAGAAAGAACCATCTCTCAAATGGGGTGCTGTTATCCCACCCCCAAACACCTTTTTACAGAAGGGAAAGATGAAGCTCAGCTAGTAAGGTGTGAGGTTGAGATGAAAAGCAGATGAAGCCCAGGTTTTCAAAATGAGGGTCAGAAGTTGGCATGAGTCAGAATCACCAGGATGTTGTTAAAATTCCCTTTATCCATCCCCCAGGGCTTCGAAATCAGAATCTCTGGGAGTGGGGCTGTTGCTTGAGCACTCACAGTAAGCACCCTCTGATCTCAAGGCCTTTGCGTTCACTGTTCCCTTGGGTTGGAATGTCCTTCTCCCAGATGCCACATGACTCATTCCCTCACCTTCTTCAGTTATCTGCTCAAAGGTTACTTTCTCAGTGAAGTGTTCTTTGACCCTATTTTAAAAACAACCCCTATTTTCTCTGTGCTCAGTGGGGAGTCTGCTTCTCCCTCTCTCTCAGCCCCTCCCCCACCCCTAGTGCAGGAGAATGTGCTCCCACTCTCTCTCTCTCAAATAAATAAATAAGATCTTTTAAAAATTAAAAAAAAACATTTTGCTACACTCTCTATTCCCCTTATCCCACTTTACATTTTTCCACAACACTTATCACCTTTAATACTCCATATAATTTGATATACTTATTATGTCTACTTCTCTGCATCAAAACTGTAAGCTCCACAAGGACATTGATTAGGACCAGTTTTTGTTATTTTCTTTGGTGTATCCTCAGAACTTAGAACAGGGCTTGGCACATAGTAAGCACTGAATAAATAATTAAAAAAAAAAAAGAATGGATAGCTAGTTAAATAAATCATGGTACATGACTTTAAAAACAAAAGATGTTTTAAAACAAGTTTTAAAAATAGCCGCAGAATTGTTTGACACCTCCCATTGAGAACAGAGTCTATGTCCCCGCCCCTTGAATCTAGGCTCCATAAGTGCTTGACCAAAAGATTACAGCGAAAGTGGTAACATTACATCTCCCATACCCAAGCTTTAAGAAACTTGCAGATTCAATTTGGGATGCTGGCCCTGGGAACCCAACCTCCCTGCTTCGAGGAAGCCCAGGCCACAGGGAGAGGCTTTGTGTAGGTCTGTGACCAAGCCCAGGCCCCAGTTAACCGTCAGCATCCATGGCCAGATGTTTGAGTGAGGGAGATTCAAAATGACTCCAGTTCCAGCAACCATCTGCCTGCAGCTGCATGCAAGACCTCCTGGCTGAGTTCAGCCACCTCCTGGAATCCTGAGAGATAACAATAAACTAACTGTTCCTATTTTTAAGCCATTGTGATCTGGGGTAATTTGCTGGAACAATTACTATACTATACAATTACATTTCTATATGATGGAATAGTCTAAGGCATTAAAAAAAAATGCTGGTGAGGCATGATCTCCAACACGTGTTGTTAAATGAGCAAAACAAGGGGTGAGACAGAGTACACAGGGTGCTGCCTGTAATACTGAAAGAAAACACAAAAAGCCAAATTTATTGTGGCTATTATATCCACAGTGTGGATACATCCACATATACACTACGATATGCATAGCATATCTCCAGTAAACTCCCCAAAGAAACCAGTAACAGTGGTGGCCACAGATCAAAGTACACCAGGGTAGAAGGGATGCAGGTGTACAACATTGTGCCATTTGAGTTTTTGCTTTTAGCTACATCCCTGGGGTTTTTTTCCAAAACATTTTTATGTCAGTGGCTTGGTTTTGATTTTAAATGTATGTATTAGTGTGTACCAATGTACTAAGGGAAAGGCATCTTTTTGTTTCTTGAAGCCCAGCAGGGCCCCAGGATCATTTACCCATCAACTGTCATTCTGAGTCTAAATGTAGATATTGACAGTAAAGAAGATTGGTGGCTAATCCATACACCCAGACAAATCGTGAAGGTCCATGATTTTATTTCTAAATTACCTAAACCTATTTTCTTCAGTTTATAGCTTTTAACCAGGCAAGAAAAACCCAATAAAGTCATTATTGAGAGTTTTACTCAATTGGATTCCTGACAATCCTTAGCATTTGGTAAGATAGTAATAACTACTTTCTGATTCCTGATCGCTGGGGTTCAGGGGAACAAGGGCCCTTCAAAGTCCCTGTAGCTTCCTCAAAGAGTGGCTCTCAGTTGTCTCCTGGGTATTTTTAGGATGACTGGATGCTCCATCTGTGACCCTGAACCCTTACAACCTCATACTCCTGATTCTTGGCAGCAGGAACCTAAAGGCAACGTGTTTTATGCAAACTATAGCAGCCTAAACACCACAGACCCTTCCTTTCTTAGACATGCAAAAAGGGACAAATCTCAGAATCTTATCAGAAAACTGCAGATAGGAAGATGTGCTGAATCACCTGGGTATGAAGTAATTTCTTCCTCGTGGTCCATAGAAACCTGCTCTACATGCTTTGGAATCGGCGTCATTCATTTTCCTGCACTGAGTTTTCTTTTCTTTTCTTTCTTTCTTTCTTTTTTTTTTTTTTTTTAAGATTTTATGTATTTACTTGACAGAGAAAGAGAAAGAAAGCACAAGCAGAGGAGCTGAAGGCAGAGGGAGAAGGAGAAGCAGGCTCCCCGGCTGAGGAGGGAGCTCCACTCAGGGCTCTATCCCAGGACCCTGAGATCATGACCTGGGCCAAAGGCAGATGCTTAACCAACTGAGCCACCCAGGGGCCCCTGCATTGAGTTTTCTTATTGAAATATCATATATAGGGGCGCCTGGGTGGCTCAGTTGGTTAAGCGTCGGGTCATGGGATGGAGCCCCATGGTGGGCTCCATGCTCAGCAGGGAGTCTGCTTGAGGCTTTTCTTCCATTCGTGCACACTCATGCATGTGCACGTGTGTGTGCTCTCTCTCTCTCAAATAAATAAATCATTAAAAAAAGAAATATCACATATATACAGAAAAGTGCACAAATCATAAGCACATGGTTCTATTCATTTTTACAAAGTAAACACATCCATGTAATAATAGGCAGATCAAGAAATAGAAATTTTCCTGAGTCCCAGAAGCAATAGTCCCAGAATGGACTAACTTTTTATCTGCTTTATACTGCATATAAAATAGAATCATACACTATTTTCTGGCTTCTTTTGCTCAATGTTATATTTGTGGGCAAAATATGTTGCTCACAACATACCTGTTGCTTGTAATAGCACTACGTTCATTTTCATTGTGTAAAATTTTTCATTATGTGAGTATGCCACAATTACCCATTCTACCGTTGATGGGCATGTAAGTAGTTTCTAATTAAGGGCTATTTTGAAAAGTGCAGGGTGTCTGGGTGTCTCAGTCGGTTGAGCATCTGCCTTCAGCTCAGGTTGTGATCCTGGGGTCCTGGGATTGAGTCCTGCATCGGAGCAGGGAGCCTGCTTCTCCCTTTGCCTCTCTCCCTATCTCTCATAAATAAATAAAATTAAAAAGAAAAAAGAAAAGTGCAGCTGTGAACATTTTTGAACATGTTTTACAGCGAACACAACACATGCATGCATTTCTATGAGTTATCTACCTAGAGTTGGAATTGCTGGATCGCAAGTTAGGCATATATTTGCTTTAGATACATTTAGAAAATGCCAGTTTTCCAAAGTGGTCCTAAGGATTTATACTCCCACAATGTATGAGATTCTAGTTGCTCCACATTATCATGAATATCTGGCATTTTTTGCCATCTGTCGCTCATTTATTTTAATCCTTAATCACTTCTCAGTATGCCAAAGTAGCCTTCCTGTTAAATAATCACAGGAACAGTGTAATGTAGCATTGTGTATGATATAGGACCAGACAGTCTAGCTTACCAGGCTGATGACCTCTGAGCCTCAGCTTCTTCCTCTGTAAAATGGGGATGGTAAAGTACCCATTTCTAGGGTTGTGGGAGGACCAACGGAGATCATGTACACAAAGTGCGTAACACAGTGCCTGGGATAGAGTAAGTATGCAATAAACAACGGCTGTGTGTAAGACCATAGTTTATGGCTGGGGAAACTGAAGCCGCAAGGGGGTTAAAGGATCTGGCCAGGGTGACTCAGTGGCAGAGTCTGCCAAGCCTGATGTGGCCTCTGTAGTTGGTATATTTCCAAGGGACCATATGGCTTCAGTTTCTAAGAATTTTTAAATAAAAATTGCAAAATCTGGTCTATAGTTTACAATGAATTTTAGTCATGTAAGGATTACTTGTAATTTCTTCTTTAAATTTGGCAAATTTCATAGGATTCTCCAAGAGGAGATATATATCAGAGAAGCTAATGCTCCTTTGTCAACAAGCAGGTATTAGGTGGTGGGATTTGTGTTTTACTTGGAGGAACTGGGTCCCTGGACAGTCAACCACTGGCTTGACAAAAACAGTTGTTTGCAGTTCAGATTTTAACGTTTTGTCTACCTCAGAAATTACCCCCCCAGCTTTTTTTGTTAGGAGCGCAGGGACTCTTTGGCAGTTCTTGTCATGCATACCACCAGTAGGGGTGACAAATAGAAGGCTAGATGTTACTCTCCTGCTGGGTCAGAAACAGCAGTTCTCA